GGGGGAGGGAACAGAGTCTGTGGGGCGGGGCGGTTCGGGCCCAGGGCAGAGGCCCCATAAACCCGGCATGGGTCCTACCGGCTACCCTAAATGATTCACAGGCTGGCGAGAATTCATTTGGGTTTCCGTGGAGCTCTGACCCTTCAGAGCTTATTTTTTAGAGGAGAGCGAGGCTGGGGCGGCCGGACGCGCAGGGCGCCCACCTCAGCACGGCGGCCATGCAGGTCTCACAGAACCGGTGTCCGCACTCCGTCTGCTTCGGGTTGCACAGCACCAGGCGGCACTTCTCGCACTTGTACTTGTCCTCCACGGCCTTCACAAACCTTTCTTTGTAACCTCCCTGCTCGGGGACGAAGACCGAGGGCCCGGAGCTGCGGTCAGGGTGCGGCTTGAGCGGCGGGTTGGTCTGCAGCGAGCCAGCAGAGTCCATCTTTTTACTCGGCTCCATTCTAAGAAGGAGAAATTCTGCTGGAAAAAAGCAACAGTAGATAAGTAAAATGCTATCATGTTGTCCCACACAAGGAAACAAACAGCTCTGGAAAAGCGGAAGTGCCCAAGAGAGTGTCCTCTCTAGGTCTGAGTAACACGAAAAGCGTCCTGACGTCGGTGAGCAACCGGAGCGAGTGCCAAATGTCCTCCCTTCTTTCCACTTGACCGAAGCACTACACTCACATTGCTATTTAAAAAACTCTCTAAAAGGCATCGATTGTATTTTTAAGGCTCTTTAAAATACAGATAATACTTTGCTTGCCATGACTTCAAATTCTATGCATCATTCCGATGTTTTGGCTGAAGCAACAGCCATTCTCAACCAACTTTACTTGTTAACCTCAGTGCTGGGTGACAGTCTAGATGATGTGACTCAGGTGGCCTGTCCACGGTGATGGCATCTCATTCTGACAAGAGCACTTACTGTGTGACAGTGTCTACAGACTCCCGCTACACTTCACGGTGCAATCCCATGAGCGTGTGCCCAGCGCCCACCCCCTGCCGCGCTACGCAAACCCTGCAAAGCTTTGGGGTGGGCCTGCTGTGGACCTCCAGGCACTCTCATGCTCAGTGACAGAGCTGGCGGAGGGGACACCAGGACTGGATGAGTCTCCTGCACCTATCGGGGCAGGTTCTCCTACTGCACGTGGTGACAAGTGTGCAGGTGGCTGGTCCCACCAATGGACAAAGTGAGCAGTTCCTAGACACAAGCTACAAAAGGCCCAGCCTGAGCAGCTCTGCCAGCCGAGGCACGCAGTGCACATCTGGTGAACCTACAGAGGGACTTTCTTCAAAACTCACTGGGTCTCTCAAAACTACACTGTGGTCTTGCTCAACCCATTTATTTCTGCTCCTTACAAAAATGCGGGCCAGATTCTCCGTGTGGATCCACCCCCATGCCCCACCCTTCTTGCCCCAGGAGCCGGTGCTGGGCACGGCTGTGTGCCCGGGTCAGCTGCCCAGCACAAGGTGCCCGCGGCGGCTGGGTGCGCAGGCCGCTCTCTCCAAACTCATTCCTCACGCTGACTGCCTGCCTCTTTCTGAGGCCGAAAGAATGAAGGTTCATGCCCAGGGATGTATAAGGATGAATGCCAGCAACTTATTTGATAGATAAATAAACAGATGTGCTAGCTGAACTTAGTTTTAATAAAAAAGAACATTACTGTGGCAAAGTGTGGGAGCCTCCTGCGAAATGTCTACTTGTGAAACCAAAAATGCAGTTTTCACAATGACCCTGAAAAGCCAGCCACCCTTCACTCACAAACCTGTTGATCAGAATCCTGCCCGTTGAGATGCTGAGTGGAGGGCGCCGGGGCCAATCCTGGCTGACAGACGGCACCGGGCGGCGGGGGCCGGCCTGCTGCCCTCCGCGAACGCACCTCCCACCTCCTCGGGGATGCCCCCCCTGGCCAGCCCGCTCACACGACCACCTCTGCCCTCTCTGCGCCTCTCCCCGTGGCACTTCCCCCCTGGGACTGCATGCCAGATTTATATGGCCTCTCTCTTGGGTAGAACGTAAGCTCCCGCTGGCATGGATTTTGATCCTTTTGTTCACTGACAAACCCCAGGTACCTAGAATGGTGCCTAACAGGTCGAAGGTTCTCAATACACATTTTCTGGGTTAACAGACACTCAACCTGCACACAACCTGTGTCACACATGCGAGAGTGTATCCTAGGCACTTTCCCGTATCAGCGTAAAAAGACCCATGTCATTATTTTGAGGGGCTGCAGAGCACCCTAGTGCGTGGCTCCCCGTAACGTATACAAAAACGGAGGCTTAGGTTGGCTCTAGCACTTTGCAGTTATGGACAATCTGAACACGTATCTTTGTACATTTAGGCAAGCACAGGGCACCAGAATTTCTGGGCCAAAGATGACGTGCACAAAACATAATCATTGCCAAACTGCCTTCTGAGAGGTTGCGTACTATAAATTTCTTCCGATGGTTAGTAAACTATCAAACAAATATTATTTTAGAGGACGACAGCCCGTTTCACTCAAGCACTGTGCTTCCTGCTTCCCTTGGGCCTTGGCAGTGTTGTTGGAGAATGCTGTTGGCCACGCTGGTGTGCAGATGTCGAGGCTGTCCTGCAGGTGCCTGTCTCCCATGGGGCGGGCAGCAGGCGCAGCCTGGAATGACAAGGGCACCCTTCGCCGTTCTCCACGCGTGGGAGAACCCTTCCCCCGGTGAGCGACTCGGCAAAGGTTTGCCAAACCAACTGCATTTTATTTCAACAAATACACAGGGCACCTACAGCATACACAGCTCTGTGCCTTACACATCAGGGGACACAAGCATGAAGGAGACTGTCCCTGCCCTTAGATAGCTCTGAGGGAGTGGTGAGGGGCACAAGTGCCCAGGGTCAACATCTGAAACAAGCAACAGACGTGAGAAATGACCTCTGGGAGTCACAAGGGCTGTGGATCTTCAGAAGAGGAAGCTGTCACCTCTGCAGGAGGGAGGTCAGGCCTCCTGCCCTGGGCTGCAGTGTGATGCTGTGGTGCTCGTTCTGAGAGGCGGCAGCAGACACAGCCCTGTTGGGTGGCCGTGAGGGAGCCTGTGCCTGGGGCTGTGGGAGGGGGCGGATCCTCGGGCCCAGCATTTATCCTCTGAGCCTCAGTTTTCCTTTTCATGTGAAAAGCGGAACTGCCTGTCACTCTCAGAGCACTATCGGGCGTCCCTGAGATATCCTACATGGGCTCCCTCTGCTAACTCCGCAGCACTAAACACACAGAAGAGATGTCCTTCTGCCAACTGAGGTCAAGAAGCTTGACAAGAATTGGGCTGTTTCTTTACCTTAGGGCTCCAATCCTTTCTTCGAAATGCCCCTCCTCAGCAATTAAGCAAGAAAAAGAAATAAAAGGCATCCAGATTGGAAAGGAAGAAGTAAAACAATTTCTATTTTCAGATGACATAATCATGCATATAGAATATACAAAAGAATCAACTGCAAATTAGCTGAATAAACTTGCTCGGCAAAGTTGCAGAATACAAGATCGATATATAAAAATCAATTGTATTTCTGTACACTAGCAATGAACAACCCAAAAATGAAGTTAAGAAAACAACCCGTTTATAATAACATCAAAAAGGATGAAATATCTAGGAATAAGTGTAACTAGCCTGTGGAGAACGGGCTGCAAGCTGACAAGGTCCTCGCAATCTGTGAGGTCAACCAGGGGTTGCCTCACCTCTATGAACCTCTTAAGAATGAGGAAGTACGAACTGATCAGAGAACAATGTGGTGTGGACGGAAATGCAAAACACGAAGGATTATAGCAGGGTGTGCAGGCTGGGTGGGGATAATCTCATTTTAGCCACCGCCTGCTCTTGTATGAAAGCAGCTTGCAAATGTAAAACTGGGCCACTGCTCCAGCATCAGCGGGCCGTGGGCCTCCTGATCCCAGCTCTCTGTCCTCAGTCTCTCGCCGTTCCCACTCAGGTTGATTTTCCAGGGTCGCGCTGGATGTGGCCGGATTTACCACTCGCTGGACGTGGCACCAACCAAAGGAGGGTAAGATGTGTATACTGAAAACTAGGAAACACTGTTGAAAGGCAGGAAAGGTCTGAACAAATGGAAAAACATCTCGTGTTCATGGATTGGAGAACTTAACATGGCAACACTACTCAAACTGACCCACGGACTCATCTGAACCTGTTAAAATCCCAGCTTTTTTTAAAAACAGAAATTAATAAGCTAAAATGTATATGGAAATGCAAGGGACCCAGAAAGGACAAAACAATCTTGAAAAAGGAAAAAAAGTTGGAGGACTCACACCTCTTCATTTCAAAACTTATTACGAATCAATCGAGACACTGTGTTCTGGCGTGAGGGTGGACACGCAGGTCAGTGCAACAGAGCTGACCACCCGGAAGTGCGCCCTTCCATTTGCGGCCGCCCGGTCTCCGGCCCGGGTCCCCAGACCCTCTGTGCACTCGTCTCAGCGACGCCACTGCCGTTACAGGACGGAGGTGGCTCCGGTCCTGGGCGTTCTCCTCACAGCGCTGTAGGGGACACGCAGCACCACTTCAGGGAGGCCGGGGTGGGTGAGGGTGGGGCTGGGGGATTCTAAGACCTCCCCTGCTGGACCCTTCCTTGCCTTTCAAAAAAATGCACTAGGTAACACAAAAGACTATGTGCAATAGACATGCAGGGTATGAATACAAGAAAGAAAACGACCCCAGGACACACCACCCAGCGAACACGTATCTGTGTTCCTTCCTCCGTCATCCCCCGCCTCTCCACAAGGACATCAGCCTGAACTTTGTATTTATAATTCTCTTGCTACTGTATACATTTTTCTTCTTAAGCAATGTATTTTTGCCCCTTTTTAAAATCATAAAAGTGGTATCACAGCGCGTGTAAGTCCTCTGCTGTCAGCAATTATAAACACCCATCTGTGTCTGCTGTGTGTAGCTGATAAACGTCGCTCCTTTTCCCTGCTGTATAACACCCCACGACATTGGTATCCACTTTATCGCACTGTTTCCAGGTTTTGCTGTTATGAACAGTCTGCTCGGCACACTCTGGCCCATCTGTTCTGGGGCCCTTGTGTAAGTTTCTCTAGGGTATGTACTCAAGATCAGGGGACTGCTGTTTAGCAAACTAGAGCCTGTGGAGCCTGTGGGTCAAAGCTGGCCAGTAGCCTGGTTTTGTTAGGTTCTTGAGCTAAGAATACTTTTTCTATTGAACAAACAAATGAAACACAGGCAACTGTAGGACAAAACCACATGTGGTCCACAAAGCCTAGAGTGTTTGCCATCTCGCCCTCTGCGGGAAGAGTCTGCCAGCCCCACCTTGGAGTCCACACCAGTGTGCAGACGAGCTGCTGGTCTGCGGGTGGCGCGCACGGCCAATCTGCCAGCTACGGCCAAACCGCTCTCCAGAGCAAAGCAGCATCCAAGTTTCTGTTAATGCACATCTTCACCAATACTGGGCATAATCAGAAATCTTAATTTCCACCAACCTACTA